CATCGTCCATTTTCAAGATTTTCATATGTTTATAGATCTACTTGATTTTAACCATTTTTGAAATTTAAAATTTTATAATTAGATATAAAAATAGATTTTGAGATAATCCTAAGAATAGTTTACATCAAAATTATATAGCATGATAAAATTTGAAGGTGCACCTTACCACTACACCTACGTTTGCATCCGTATGCAAACTGCACCCATCATATAATGTGGAAAATACTTTTAAAAAAAAAACATTTTATTCTATGTACATCGTGGATAGCTATCATTAGATCACAAGTTTGACTTTTCGCTCCTCCCACTTTAGTTTTAAAAGTTTAAAACTGAAACTAAATAAATGCATCATATAGAGTATAAAATATGGGATTCTATACTATGAGACCATTTACCTTTTTTACAACGATGTTATAGTTACTTCTACTCATTAAATGTCGAAGTGGATGGCTTGGGATGTGTCAAGAAAATCGACAAATTTTTTTTTAACTTTACGTCTAGTGAACGACACCACTTGATTTGAAATCTAAAGGACAACAGCTATTGTGACCTCATTGTGCTAAAAGTAAATGGTCTATTTACATATGTTTCCACAAAATATAGCAAATATTATCTATTATACATTACGAGAGGAATAACTTTGCTATTCTTGCACCACATGTCTTTTTTTTGTACATATTTGTCCTCTCTCTCCCTCTTCATCGCCCTCTCTCTCTCTATTCTATCTCCCTCTCCAATAAACACTATATATATCTCTCTCCCTCTTTCCTGAAATATTTCTCTCCCTCTTTTCTATAACTCTTTTTCTCTCTCCCTCTCTAACGATCTACAATCTCTCTCCCTCTCTATCTCAATGACACACCAAATCTCTATTTCTTTTTTAAAATCTCTCCCCTCTCATATTTTTTTATCTCCTTCAACTCTCTCTATATCTCGCTATCTTTCTTAAAATCTTTTTATCTCTCGCCCTCTTTCTTATAACAATTTTTCTCTCTCCCTCTCCAACGATCCACACTCTCTCTTCCTCCATCTCAATAACACACCAAATCTCTATTTAATAGACACAATCTAGTAAAGATAAAATGTTCTTCAGAGGTTTTGCCTCAGTAAGAACCAAAAGTAGAAAAGAGGGTGATATTCAAGACACGAAGAGAGAGCTAATCGTTTCCTACGACTAATTTGAGACCCGTTCTCTTAAGAAGACCATACTCGAAGGATAACACATCCTTGCATATATCTACTGGTATATGGGCAGATATGCCTTCGATGTTATTTTTCCTTATAACATGTCTATATTTTCTTCTTTAGAAACGAATGTATAGGTTTCAAAGCCAGAATCAAAAGTGTTCGGCTTATTTTAATTCTTCAAGTCGATGTAAAATGTAACAGATGATTAAACCTCTGGAATTGCTCAGTACCCAGCATAAATATAAAGTCTGTGTTTCTAATATGAAGTGCATAGGTGAATTTGCCCCCGAATAAGATGTTCTTTGGTTTTCTATTTGAAGTCTAATGTTTGTCTAAATATTCCGTATTTAGTAACGCATCCACATTTCGGCGCGACCAATTTTCTGCTTTATTTTCTTGCTTGTTCCCAGATCTATTTTTCTCATACTTCTATTTGTCAAAAATCAACCCGTCGGATTTAAAGCTTCCGTACACAATACACAACATTGGATAGGTAGTGTTGAACTACCTATTCAATCCAAGAGCCCAAGTTCATCGGTGGTTTTATATCTAGATCGGTGATGTTTTAATCAATAGCAAAAAATTAAAGCTAAAAACAATGTTGTGAAAATCAAACTGGAACGGTTAACTGGACATGGGCTTGGAAGTAGTTCAATCGATCTAACCGGTAAATCGACCAATTCAAATATCTAACCGGCAAGTCTTGGGGGATCAAAAAAGTGTTAAAAAAGTTAAAACAATTCTATTAAAATGTGAAAAGTATACTTAAAGGATGATTCAACAAAGCATATCCAAATGAAGTTGAAAAATTAATTAAAAAAAGAAGAAGATGAATTTTAAAGAATCCAGTTTATGCTTAGGGGTATTTTTGAAATTTTTAAAAAGATGGGAGAATGTAAAAATAAATATTAATGGCCAAAACAATTTCCAATTTTTTCTATAATGATGAAAAACATTTAAAATACATTACAAACAAAATACCTTATTTTTTGAGACTTTATATAAATTTTTTAATTTTTTTTTTAAAATACCCAGCAGGTCACCAAAACCGGCCGAAATCGAAACCGACCAATGGCAAGTTCTGATCTAATAAAACCGATTTTTTGTAGTTGATTATGGAATTTTAAGCTTTAAAAAATACTTCAAAAAAAAAAAAAACAGAGAGAGAGCTTAAAATCCATTTTTCTTCGTGGTATTAATATTCAAGTCTTCATGAGTTTGATCCTTTTACAATACCGAAGCAATTTTACAGTGAAACTCAAGCTTCTGCCCTGCACGAAGCTAACTTTAAAGTCTAAAACCTCATGGAGCATTGTTGTCCTCAATAATAACTATCTAAACAAAGAGTCTTTAGTATTGAAGGGTACTTAGCGTGGAGGCTATAATTCCATGTGCATTGCCGCAAATGCCGTGCAGCTATGACCTATTGAATTATTGTAGTCCCCCGACCGGAAAATGGAGGGGAAATAGACAAAATATTGATATATTCACCATTTTGGGAAATGTAGACAAAGTCGAAATCAAAATGAAATTGATATATTCACCAATTGGGGAAGGGAAAAGTCTATATAGAGCCTAGGCTCTAAACAATCAAATTACAGCCTACCTCAAACTTTGAAGAGGCTGTTTTGATGCCCAAATATCATCAAATTGATCACCTTGACATCAAATGCATAGACATGAGGAAAACAAGTATTTCAAGTTTTGAAAATAGTGTATCTTGTAACGTATTTTTGGACCATCAATTTTCAATATTTTCAAGTTTTCATACATCTACTCGATCTATACTATTTTTTAAGCTTTAAATTTTATGACTAAAGATGAAAATATAATTTAAGGCTATCACAAAACTTTCCAATATTGAAACCATATTTGTCAACACTATTTGAAGGGGGGCTCTAATTTGATTGTTTAGAGCCTCGGCTCCATACAAACCATACCCTTGATATATTCACCATTTTGCGAAGTAGAAGATAAAGATGAAATGAAAATGACATTGATATATGGAAAAAGTTTATATAAGGTTGCATCTTTAAAATGTAGAAATAAAGATGCACCTCCAAAATTCATCGGAGACGATTGTTTTAATGTTGAAAAACCCTCTAGTTGATCATCTCGACATAGAGATGTATGAATATGACAAAAAAAACGATTTTGAGTCCCAAAAAATAGTACATCTTATAACACATTATCTAGACCATCTATTTTCAAGATTTTTATATGTTTGTATCTACTTATTTTAATTATTTTTGGAGTTTATAATTTTATAATTAGATATGAAAATAGATTTTCAGATAATCTTAATTATTTCTTACACCAAAATTACATGTTATGCTAAAAATTGGAGATGCACCTTAATTAGATTGTTTAAGGTTGCAACCATATAGATACCACACGCTTGATATATTCACCATTTTTTGAAATGGAGAGGAAAGAGAAGATAAAGTTAAAATCAAAATCTTTTGATTTATACCATAAACTAATGCTATAAAATATTTCCAGAAACATAAATTTGGTGTACGGTAAAGCTCAAAACAAAGGCACATTCATTCATGTAATCCCAATAGATCTCCACCACCAAACATTTATTACACATGTCTTTCTTTGGCAAGTGCTTTGGCATTGGAAGAGGGCCTTTCCGACAAACTCCTCTAAGACTTGAATAACTTCCTTTTCCTTTCTAACCCGCAACCGGCTCTTTACTCTTTACAGCACCAAAGTCTGCCAAGGAAAATGGGTTCTATCATATCATCTCAAATTCATATCATCTCAAATTCGTAGAGTGACCAAGAAGCCTTGTCCTGTCACAATCTGCGCAGATCAACATAATCATATTAATTGAAAAAAAAAGTTGATACATAACCGAGACTCTAAACAATCAAATAAGAGGCACCTAAAAAATTTCACTAAAAAAAGGTTGTTTAGATGCTCAAATATCCTCCATTTGATCATGTCGACAACAAGATGCATGGAAATAAAAAAAAAAAAATGGATTTCAAGTTTTGAAAATAGTACATCTTGTCACACATTTTTTGACAGCTATTTTTCAATATTTTCAAGTTTTTATAGATTTGCTCGATCTATACTATTTAAAGCTCTAAATTTTATAATTAAAGATGAAAATATATTTTAAGGCGATTACGAAGATTTCAAATATTAAAACCACATTTCTAGAAACTATTTGAAGAAGGTGGGCTACATACAAACCACACCCTATTATTAATCATATACCAAAAGATATTTTATACCCTTGGAAGCATACTGTTTGTTTACTCTGATAGGTAAAATCCAACTACAACCCTAAATTTTGGAGATATAACTTATATTTAACCCATAGATTAAAGTAGAGCCCAACTTCAAATATTGTCGAGAAATGTGGTTTCAATACTGAAAATCTTTGTGATTGCCTTAAAATATATTTTCATCTTTAATTATAAAATTTAAAGCGTTAAAAATAATATAGATCGAGTCGATCTTTGAAAACTTGACAATCTTGAAAATTGACAGTTCAAAAATGTGTTACAAGATGCATTATTTTTAAAACTTAAAATCCAATTTTTTTCTCATATCCATGCATCTTTATGTAGAGATGATCAAGTTGAGCAACAAAACAACCACTTAAATTTTTGAGGTAGGCTTTAATTAGATTGATTAGGGCCTCGGCTCGATATAAACTTTTTTCTTTAGTGATTGTAAAGCAGTTTCAAAAATTTCAGTTGGAAAAAAATCCTCTGGACTTAGTCATAATAAACTATGCTCCCGAATGAGCATAATATAGGTGCTCAATAATAATAATAATAATATCAACCCACCATCCAACATAATCAGCTTTCGACTTTGCCCCTATCCATCCAATCCCCAGGCAAACGGCTGACTCACCCTCACTCATCACTGCCCACTACAAAACCAAGACGATAAAAGTCCCTCTTTTCCACTCCCTCGCTCACTCTGTCCGGCTTCATCTGCAAGTCGGTAATGGCTTCCATCACTTCCACCTGGAAATCAAAATCACAAATGAATAAATAGGCCCCTCTCTCTCTGCCCGTCCTACCAGTCACCAATGGCTGCTCTGGTTCTGCTTCTCTTCTTATTCTCTCTCGAACTCTCTTCCTGTAGCGCCCAACAAAAGACCTTCATATTCCTGGTGGATGAGCACTCCAAGCCCTCAGTTTTCTCCTCCCACCAGCTCTGGTACACCTCTGCCTTCATCCACCCTACGCGTATGGTCCAAGTGTACGATACCGCATTCCATGGCTTCGCGGCACGGCTAGCTGCCGATGAGGCGGCTGAGATTGGAGAGCACCCTGCAATCCTTGTGGTGCTGGAAGACCAGCCCCGCCAACTCCATACCACTCGCTCCCCACAGTTCTTAGGGCTCAGCAACCGGCGGGGCCTTTGGTCTGACTCCGACTATGGCTCTGATGCCATCATTGGTGTTCTTGATACCGGTATATGGCCGGAGCGCCGCAGCTTCGCCGACCACAACATGGGCCCTATCCCTGCTCGATGGAAGGGTGAATGTGAAACCGGCCCTGGCTTTACCACAGCCCACTGTAACCGCAAGCTAATTGGAGCTCGATTTTTCGCCAGGGGTTATGAGGCCACTGCTGGCGCTGTGAACGACACTGCTGAGTTCCGGTCGCCCAGGGACGCCGATGGACACGGTTCACATACCGCATCGACAGCCGCCGGGAGGTATGTTTTTCAGGCAAATATGTCTGGATATGCATCTGGAATAGCCCGGGGTGTAGCCCCAAAGGGGCGACTGGCGGTCTACAAGGTCTGCTGGAAAGCAGGCTGCTTCGACTCAGACATCCTTGCCGCCTTCGATCGAGCAATTGCAGACGGCGTGGATGTCATCTCTGTATCAATTGGCGGGGGATCGGTGCCTTATTACCTTGACTGCATCGCTCTCGGATCCTTTGGGGCCACTGCTAAAGGGGTCTTTGTGGCGTCTTCGGCCGGGAATGATGGCCCAACCGGACTTTCAGTCACGAACCTTGCCCCTTGGCTAACAACCGTTGGAGCCGGCAGCATCGACCGGAATTTCCCTGCCGATGTCACCCTCGGCAATGGTAAGACTCTGCATGGTGTTTCCCTCTACTCGGGGAGCTCGCTTGCAGGAAAAATGTACCCCGTGGTCTACCCTGGGAAAGCAGGCGGGCTCTCGACTGCCCTTTGCATGGACAACTCCTTGAGTCCGGGTGCCGTCAAGGGGAAGATCGTGGTATGCGATAGAGGCAACAATCCCCGTGTGGCAAAGGGCTTGGTCGTGAAGAACGCTGGCGGAGTAGGGATGATCCTTGCCAATGCCGCTTCCAATGGTGAGGGCCTCGTCGGTGATGCCCACCTCCTCCCTGCGTGCACCGTTGGGGCAGATGAAGGCGAAGCCATCAAATCCTACATATCATCCGCCAACAACCCAATCGCAACCCTTGGCTTCAAGGGCACCGTCCTCGGAGTGAAACCGGCGCCGGTGGTGGCCTCCTTCTCAGCCCGCGGCCCCAACGGCCAGACACCTGAAATCCTGAAGCCCGACCTCGTTGCCCCAGGCGTCAACATACTCGCTGCTTGGACCGACGCCGTAGGCCCAACAGGCCTGAGCTCCGACTTCAGGAAGACGGAATTCAACATCCTTTCAGGCACATCCATGGCCTGTCCCCACGTTGCTGGGGCGGCCGCCCTGCTAAAGGGCGCCCACCCTGGCTGGAGCCCTGCCGCCATCCGCTCCGCCCTAATGACCACAGCGACTGTCACCGACAACCGCGGGCAGTCCATGACCGATGAGTCCACCCAGAAACCCTCAAACCCCTTCGATTACGGAGCCGGCCATGTCGAACTGGACCGGGCCATGGATCCCGGCCTCATATACGACATCACCACAGAAGACTATGTCAACTTCCTATGCGCCATCAAATACAGCCCCAAGGCCATCCAGGTGATCACGAGGAAATCAGTGAGCTGCCCGAGACGAATAAGCGGGCCCGAGAGCTTGAATTACCCATCTATCATGGCATTCATGGAGGGGAACAGGTCGGGTTACCTCAGAAAAGTGTTTCTGAGGACGGCAACAAACGTCGGTGCCACAGTGTCGACGTACAGAGTGAGCGTTACGATGCCGGCGAAGGGCATCGCCGTGTCGGTGAAACCGTCGACTCTCGTTTTCACGGGACTGGGGCAGAAGCAGAGCTACGCCGTGACAGTGGTGGCCGACCGCCGGAGCTTCATGTCGGGCGGGGGAGGCTCAGCATTCGGGTACATGGTGTGGTCTGACGGCAAGCATGAGGTTCGGAGCCCCATCGTGGTGGCTCTAACTCAGAGCGTCGGCGACTGAGTCACTCTTCTCTCTCTCTAAGATTTCTTCTTCTTCTTCTTCTTCTTCTCTCTCTGTCCCTGGCGACTGAACCATTTGTCTATCTCTCGCTGTAACTGTAAGCCCCGGGCTCGCACGTGACCCTGCAAGGTTCAGTCCCACCCAACAGTAACAGTCCTCCTTTTTCTTTATTTACTATTGATTTGTTGTGTTGCGATTTACACGTGTGCGCCAGGCACGATTTACGTTGCGTAAAGAGTTACGTGTGAGGCTTCCCCCGATATTAAAAAAAATAACCAGAGGAGAAGACAACAAAGCAACGGTAAGTATTTGTCTGTAAACGTGTTTTTAGGCCTTCAGCAGCTCAGCTATGAGCGAGCTCTAACATGAATACAAAATGTAATGAAATATTATTACTATTTGGAATATCGAGGTTCTTGTTTTCTCATCTTCGTTGTTCGAGCTTTCAATGTTGCGCGGATATGTTGTGCTCTCTCGGTTCCAGATACAATATATTTACTCCCTCGGGCAGAATAGTTTTAAGATTTTTTCTCATTTGAAATTTTAGGATCCATCTAATTAGAACTAGATGGTTTTTTTCAAAGAAGAAAAAATTGAATTTCTAGAGTGATTTAACATCTAGATCATTTCTCCTAAAAATTGGATGGAAGCCATCTTTGAGTCGCATGGGGAGAAAGAAAGTTGGAAGTTCGTTTTTCTTTGAAATTGGTTTTCGAGTTGTAGAGATAACATCCCAAAATTTTGGATCTAAAAGATATTCTAGTTTTGTCCAAGGGAGTAGATGGATAGTGTACTCCTTGGTGTAACTTTTTTGCGGAAGAGCAAGAGCAAATTGCGAGATTCGTGACAAAATTAGAGGTGGACGGGTGGATTTCCTCGTTTTACGTTGTTTTTTATTGGTGTAACCGCTGGAACGATGGCAATTGGATGCATGTCTGATTTCTCATATGCCTTTTCCTAATTCTTCTTTTTAATGCTTTTCACCAAACCCCATACAAAGAAAATGGGCTGACTGACCATTATTGTTATCACTTTTATAGCGAGATATTTTCATGTTGTCTTTTTAAACGGGGATCACCGGATAATTGATAGAATTCAAATTTAACACTTAAAAAAGTTGATGGCACTTTAATATGGGGAAATTTATAGGGAAATTTCTTTAATGGGATTTAAAAATTGGATCATTTATAATTTTTATATGAAAGTCACGATCATGCCCACTCATTAGATGTCAAAATGAATGGTTTGGGATGAGTTATGAAGTTCATGAATTTTTTTTAAAATTGTGTACACTTTTACAACCACTGATGTTAAAATTTAAAGGATGTGAATGATTGTGGCCTCTATATACAAACTATAAATGGTCTCTTTGTAGACAATCCCTTTTATATTTTATGCTTGAAATTTAGTTTTTCATATTTTTATTCACAAATCACCAGAACATCCAATGTCAAGACCCTTTTTTCAATGAGATTCTAGTTAAAACATGGATTTCCATCACTTTTTGAGAAATTTACAAACCAAAAAAAATGCAATATATCCACTGGTATCTCCTCTAACTTGGACTCTATCTCCCTGACTGAAAGAAAAGAGGTCAACTCTTCAGAAAAAACTTCTAGGTATTCTCTTACCACTGGTATCTCCTTTAACTTGGATTGGACGTCCCGATTCTCTACCACATAGGCTAAGTATCCAGCACATCTCTTAGCCAGAAGACGGGAAGCTCGAAGGCCAGAAATAAGACGTAGAGGGAGAGCATCTTTAATATTAACAACGGGCAACTCAGGCTGATTTGGGCGTCTAAAGGTCACCGTTTTATCATAACAATTAACTGTAGCATGATGTGTGGACAACCAGTCCATGCCCAAGATAACATCAAAACCCTGAATATTCAAACGTATCAAGTCTATAGATAGGACACACCCTTCAAGCAAAACCCTACAATGTTTATATACCATATCAGTTTTTATAGAATCTCCCATAGGTCTGCATACTACCAATGTCCAATCAAGAAGTGAAGGTCTAGCATTTATATGGCATGCAAAGTGAGGTGCAACAAAAGAATGAGAAGATCCAGGGTCAATCAAGATTCTAGTTTCCATATCACAGACATATAGCGTACCTTGGATTACTGAGGTAGAAGCCTTGATTTCCTGCTCCGTGAGCACGAACACCCAACCTTGAGTCTTAGGTCGGTTCTTTGGCCCCTTTACAGGGCTGTCCTTGATCAGGTCGCCGGGCTTGCCACATCGAAAACATGATCCCGCCTTCTTATAACATTCGGCTGCTGAGTGGTTACTCAACTCATAGTATGAGCAGGCTGGGCGCCGGTTATCCCTTACATCACCTGGGAAGGTCTTTTGGATTTTTGTATTGCCTTGTTCCTTCCCCTAAAACCTTTCCTAGAAGGTAGTCGAATCTTCCTCCCAAAGTTGCCAGATGGCGTGGTCCCTACTATCCCTTCTTTCTTCAACAAGGATTCCTCACAATCCCTCTCGATCTTCATACCGAGGTCCACTAATGGGGAGGTCTTGAGGTTGGCTAATAATACTCTCCCTCTTATATCTGGCATGAGGCCCCTCTAGAACTTGTTCACCTTACGTGTCTCTGTATTGATGATGTGTGGCGTATAATGATAGAGCTCTGCAAATTTTGCTGGATAATGTTCCACTGATAGTTTCCCTTGCTACAGCTCAAAAAATTCCACTTCTTTTCTCCCTCGGACTGAATTAGGGAAGTATGTCTCATTAAAAGCCTTTAGAAAGTTTTCCCAAGTTGCCATGGTCCCTGACTCCTCCCAAAATTGCTTCACTGAACCCCACCAGTGCTCAGCATCCCCTTTCAACATGAAAGTTCCCAGTCTAACCGTTTGCTCATCTGAGCAAATGCAATACATCAAATATCTTCTCTACTTGCCTTCTCCAATGTTCCGCTTTTTCCACTCCCCCATGCCTCAAGAACGCTGAAGGTCCTAGCCGCCTAAATATCTCAATTAGACCACTATCCGTCTGGTCTGAGGCAGAGTAGCAGGGACTGGCATATGGTCTTTCATCATCTAAGTCATGGCCCTTAATGTCTTGAAGAATTCCCCCAAGGCCTCGGTGTTCTCATTGCTAAGACTCACATTGTTAGCACGAGTCTTCGCCGTCTTGTCCTAAAACAGGAACACCCAGTTACTAGCCTATCCAAAAGTTATTTTAAGGACACTTTTAAGACTCTATATGCTAAGAATCCTATCATGGCTGCTCTGATATCATAATTGTCACGACCCCGCCCCCTTCTACCATACCGGCTAGAGGGCAACAGAGTGTGGGATCGCGACCAGAGGTAGCGAATGCCACTTAGGTGAGAGTGCGTTCAACACTTTTAGAAAACGGAATCAAAGCAAACCACGAAAGAAAATAAAGACCCAAGCACAAGGGTACAAAGAACTGGACAAAAAAAATAAAACCAATTTATACATAAAGGCTCCAAACTTTTATTACAATCATGTCCAAAGCACTACAGGCCCAACAACAAAATATAAGATTTCAAACAAAACAACTATATGGCCACCACCATCAAACACCTATTATCAGGATAAAGCTTTTCTTGCCAAGCATAGATCTTCAACCTCCAGCCATGATTTACCCAGCTGCTCGCTCTCAAAAAATGCAGGCTACTGCTCTACACAAAGAAAATCAGAGGAATGAGCTATAGAGCCCAGTAAGCAGATCAAACATCATGTATGCTAACCTATACAATGCAATTTATAACCATCCCCCAAGATTCTTGCAGGTGTCATAACATGGAGTCATGTAGCATTATTCTTTAGCATTGGTGGCAGAAGTGTAAATCAGATGTTAGAATATCATACATCGCATGAGTTAACAGTCTATCACATCTTTTCATCAAAATAACATATTAATAATTCAGGTAAAACACATAGTGCATACAGGCAATCCTTGTGTTTCCTACTCCCGAAGTAGAAGTCCTATCAATCAGGGCAAGCCAATCCTGCTACTTTAGACTTCTACTCTGACTCAGGAGGGAAGACAATGACAAATGGATAACCCATTTCGTAATGTCTTCACACACACACAATCCCCAACGCACTTTGGGGCTTTTGATAGGCTGTGGCCTTACGAGATATGACCATCTCCTTATGCTTTTCTGGCGAGAGAGCATTACGCTACCAATAGGTGACCCAATGCATAGTGCCCTTAAAGATTTAGGGGGTGCGACCCACCCAAACATTCATATTCACATCTTAACTTCCTTCTTATCATCGAGAATCGGGGAAAGATCTTAACTTCCAGTATAACATTCTTATTTTATTACAACATATTACACTACTAACAGATGACCCGTTATGTAGTGCCTCAGATTATCACCTCAGAATCTCATTCTGTACTACCAATGGATGTCCCATTGTATAGTGCTCCACTTCATATTCTTATCATGTCAGATACCACCACCAATGGATGTCTCATTGCGTAGTGTTTTGTATCACATTCTTATCTGATGCAGGGAGAGAATAAAACCAGAAAATTAACAAATAAAAGAAGGAAGGTTGCGAGAAAATATCCTCTCTCAGAGGTTTGCAAGAGAATCCACCCCCAAAATAATTTCTTTCACGAGACCAACTTTTATTCAATCCATTGACTCTGATTTACAATGAAGGAAAACCTCTCTTTAAATAGACTAAAAAAGGAAAGATAAGCAAAAGAAAAACCCCTTACATGCACTCTCCTATTTTATCTATCCTCCCTATTTTCGCTTATCCTTATTTTTCCTCTCTTTAACTTCACGTACCAAAAGATTTGCTCTTCACACGTTTTATCCAAAGGTTCCCACATTTTTATTCAAAGCATCCCACGTTTTTATCCAAAACCAACCTATTATTGAAAAGATAAAACTCCCCTTAGATTTAACCTTATCTTATTTACATTCCAAACTAACTAACCCAACCGATACAAGATAAACACAATATAAACTCCCACTTAATTATCCCTGCGTACTCCTTAAACAAAAGAATAATTAAAATAACCCTAATAATCTAAACTAACATAATTAAAAAATCCCCAAAATATAACTGTTAATTAAATTACTTAAAAAATCTAAATTAGGTCATTTCATGACTGCATCATTATCACATCAAATCCCACTACCAATGGGTGTCCCATTGTGTAGTGTTTCACAACACATTCTTATCATAGGCATGTCTTATTACAATCATGTACATGCATATCTCATAAGCATTCATTCATGCCCAAGCATGACTCATCACAATTATTCAAGAGTACATGAGCATTCACTATATCAGAAGCATACCTCATTTCAACTATGCATATTCAATAATTCATAATAGAACAAAGTTTTTCGTATGATAACCTCTTAGAAATTTTGGTAGAGTTTTGTCATGGTCCCAAAACCAATTTGAAAATA